CTGGGGTGTTCGGCCCCAAGTTGTACCGCCCGTCACCGTTTGCCCCAGGCTGTGACATCGTCTCCTCTGCTTACTGCCGCTCGCGCGTGAGTGGTGGGTGTCCTCCACATGCCAAGATGCCAAGGCGTGGTCCTCGATGTGTCAAATCGGCACAAAAACCCGGCCCCTACACACCCAATAGCCCGCCACGTGCGCTGTTCGCAAAAGTCGACATCGATTTTAATGTTTTTGCATTTATTTGAGTTCGAGTTTAAGCATAGGAAGATTCCGTGCGGTCTCCATCCAAATGCTTCCGACGGACAGGTTAAAAGTTATTCCATCCAATCACAGCAGATATTCGTTGGCTCTTCCAGGACTTAAACTGATTTTTGATTTCGATTTCTGATCTTGATTCTGTCGATAAGACACATCCTGAGGCGGATCGATACATTCATCGGGGAATCAGTTTGAAAGATTTGACAGGTTTTTGAGAGGATTGGATAGAACCTTAGATTTCGGAATGCAAGTAGGGACTGTCAGCAGAGTTGGAAGTTGAGAATAGGATTTTTAGAGTTGGTGGGCATGTGTGGGGACACCCACACGAGGTCAGCCTGACCCACCGGGAGTCTTCTCCCTTGTTGTCTTGGTAGTCAGAACTTCTAATAACACGACACTTGATCGCAGTTTCTACTGGACATTACCACGAAAAGGCCCTTGGCATCAACACAAATACGTACGCGGAGGGAAACGCACCCCGATCCCCTGATACAAAGATAGATTATTAGCTATAAATCCATGGCGTCAGCGAAGGCTACCTATATTTCCACGATTTCCCGAGCAGCACACAGCGAGCGATATCTCCCCTCCCTGTGGGTAACAGGCTCATCAACAAGACATGGAATGATCCGTACATACATAAGATGCGGCGTGATACTTGTTCCGGTAGAACGAAACATGTGGGGACGAGATGACGAGATCTCAATAGCACAGGAGCTCAAGAATATATGCATTTATTTGTATAGTTGGTCAGAGCATTGTAAATGAAGCGAGATCACGAGGTAGGTGTTGCGAGCCCCACCGGGGTCACTCCCAACTATCCCTCAACAGAACATCAAGTAAGTTGCTGAAGAAGAGAAAAGCAAAGCAAGTCCTAGAAGCGGCACTTGGCAACAAACAACATCGATTCTGTCATGCCTCAAAAGACTTCGGTGTGCACAGACGGTCTGTACATCACACAGACTACTACTCACGTCTGGAGCTGCACAAAGGAACCGCCTGCAGACACGGCCATTGGGTGAAGGGCACCTCGACCCTACATAGATAGCTACACATTTCTACACCGTTGTTGGGGAGGGCTTCATCCCGCCCATGCTTCAGCAGGCCGTGTGATACCCCGGGTCTTGACAAGATACGCACAGGGTGTGGGAGCAGTGAGCCTGGCAGGGTACAGGCGGGTCAGCCGGTTGTCTCCCCAGGGAGACCTTGCCAGGGTGATTTCTGCCCATCCGGGCAGGGCAGCGAATGGCCACTGGTGTGGATATCAATACACCAAACTTGCTTGCACAGCCCCTCACAGCCTCTCATCCTTGCCTGGGAACGTGGCCGGTACCAACCCCCAAGAATATCTCGGAAATATATGCGCTGGTCTGCAGTCTGCAGTCGGCGGTGATGTCAGAGGACGTGTTTCCGTATGTGCAGTTCTACATGCAGTAGATGACTTGCCGGTCTCCTCCCCGGATCTCCGAGAGAGGTACCGTTGACGTTCTTGCACACTCAGTTGCCCTTCCTGCAAAGCAGCTTGACTGCTTTTCATAGAGCAACCCAGCCTTGGCGAAAGCAAGCACCCCTTCCTTTGAGCGTATTACATCTGTCGCTCAGAGACATGAGCCACAAGTGCTCCGATGATGTGCCACATGAGTCCCATTTCGGAGACGTTGGAGATTTCATCCCGCCCTAAACGCAAATTCTTAGATCGTTCTGTGTGCCAGTGACACACGCTCCAGTCCCACATTCCGCAGGTGTTCCAGATCTGGTGCGGTACATAGCTCGGGTAGACGGCCCGCCCTTACCAGCTTGCGTCGAAAGGAGGGGTCGCACACGCAAGACCAATCGATTTATCTCAGCGGACGTTGGATAGCCATCGTGAAGTTGAGTCACGAATTGCCTTGGGACACTGCGCAGCAAAGTAATATACGCACAGGGCTGCAAGTAAGGCTGCTCAGCCCCGCTCAACCACCAACAACAGCAGTGGGCGCCACGGACTTTGGCGGGAAGCGACCGGTGGGGCGATTGTGGAAAGCTTCGACGCATCGTTGGAGAACCGCGCAGCGGCAATCTCCTGCTTGGCAATCTCCCGCGTGGCAGCCTCCTCCGGGGCGGTCGGAGAAAGAGGAGAAGGTACCAGGCAATCGAGTGTGAACGAAATGTGCTCAGTGTGGTTATGTTCACTTTCTAGAAGTGTGCTCAGTGCTTATCGGCCGGAGGATCTTTCTTTTTTTTCGACTCTTTTCGTAGACTACTGGTATGTATGTCGTACTAGGTATGTATTATTGCAGGACGTCATCCCTCCTTCTTCCCCCCTGTCTTGGACCCATTCCCTCCTCTACGCTTTCCCCCCTGATGTGCGTGGTGACACACTCGAGAGTCCTCGTTTTTAGCTTCGTACTCGCGTCGGAAGCATATAGACTACAGCAGCAGCGCGACTCTGCCGCCTGTCACAACCATCACCATATTTGGAACGCACACGACGCGGCCAGCCTCAATTTGTCTTTGGTTTTGTTTGGGCTATGATTGTTGTTGTTGTTGTTGTTGACTTCACATTAAACCGCATGCCAGTTGCTAAATGCCAAAATCTAGCAAAGACTCTCGGCCCGTGGTCACGAAAGTGCTGGAGCCATCTGAGGATCTAAAGAACACGCACACGTAGCAAGAAAAAGGTGTACAAGAGCCCGAAGAGGTACTACTACACCTATATATAATCCCTGCAGCACCGTACGCGTGCCCAAAACTGAACTACACGTCCGTCTCACCGTTCGACTACAGCAACATCACCCCCTACTTGTCCCACTCTGTACCAAAACGAATGATTGCCGACTACAGCATACTTGCTGTCTGAAGTGCTGTCTGTACAAAAACACCATGGTAGGCATGGAACAAGAAGCTGGCGGGGCACAAAGCTGCTGTCTGAAGTGCTGTCAGAATGTGTCTGCGGACGTACAGTTAGGAAGTGGTGGATTATTCTTGGTACATGTAGCCCGTGTTGTACCTTTAGGAGTTCTAGTTATTCTTTTTGGTCTTGAGATAGCAGTTGCTTTACTTCAAGCTCACGTATTTACAATATTGAGTTGAATGTTTAAATGACGCAATAGTTCATTAGTCTAAGCTTAATATATTATTTTTAATTCAAGTACCTTTTTTTTAAAGTACTTTTGTAGCATTGTTAGCTCAGTAGATAGAGCATCGGTCTTCTATAGCTCGTAAGCGCGCCAGTTCCGGCTTCGTCAGAAATATCTGTGCAAGGGGTTGGTTGTTTGATGGTAGGCCGATGTCCAGACTATGTACAAATCTGCCGCCTCTTTGTCCTGTTTACTCCGTTACTCCCATGACCTGGTGCGTATTGCCTGGTGCTGGTACATTACCCTTTGATTTTTTCTTCAGGCGGGTGTGGGAAACTTCCTCTTTTGTTTTCGTTTTATTTTGATCGGTTCCCGACGGCTCTTTTCTCGAACGGTCGGTTCGGTACCTGTTTTTGTGCGTATTTGTCATTTTTTTTTTTCTCAATACTAGTATCACACAACAAATCCATCTTTGTCTATAGAAATAGAAATAAATCTACGATAGATTAGCAATGAATCCATGCGTGAGCGAAAAAGCTACCTGTATGTCTACGGTTTCCCAGAGAGCATTCAACGATATCACTTTGTTCTCTTTTTCCGAGTGGTTGTACCCTCGTTGATTTCAATTGACTTGCGGACCCCTCGGGGCCATTTAATTTGAGTGTACCTTTTTAGGGTAAATTAGCCTGCGACCACGGGAATCGACCGCGTCGAGTGTTGAATCAGTACGACATACGAAGGTACTGGGTAGAGAGAGATCGGAACGGTTTTAATGTGAAGAACAACAACAACAACAACAACAACAACAACAACCCTATATTTGTTTGGTTTGCCCGTGGCGTCATATGTGCCGGGTTTTGAGACCACGGTTTCCCCATTTTTTGTGAACTAGTCTATAGAGCTAATGTGAGAAACAGCGACAACAACATCATAAGTCTATATATCGGTCGCCCCGGTGGTCATGTGGTATCCTCGTAATCCGCTAGTCGCAAAGGTCGTGAGTTCGAATCCCCATGGGGTGAAAAATTTACGAAATGTACGGGTGAAAGCGAACTGTAGCCGAGAAGCTCTCGTGAGTACCAAGTTTCGACGTTAGCACCGTTGAGGGAAAGGGACGGCTGGACCCTTCTCGCGATAAAAATAAATTTCAGCACGCATCGCAGGAGGAAAGTGGGGCATGAAAAGAAAAAAAGAAAAAAAGAAAAACTGGTGTTTACCCCTACTGTGTGTCCATGCATGGTTGTAGTTTTACGAAATAACACACTGAAAAGTGTAGTTCTACATACGCTGAAAAATGTAGTACAGGTCTTAACACGAAAAATGGGGGGACTGTCGCCATAAGAAATAGGACGAAAAAACACGCACACACACACATACTGTCGCGCCCGGGGCCAAAAGTTGACAGCCATGAGAGGCAATCAGAGAGGCAAGACCGCACGCAAGCATCTGGGAGATAGGCGCTACAAGGGCCGACTTCAAGATGGGAACACGAGAAAAAACACCAGCAAGCCGCATCCACAAAGCAGATAAAATGAGAAAAATGCAACTGGAAAAATGTCAGCAAGCGGGTTGTTGTTGTTGTTTTCTTCACATTAAACTCGTGTCAGTTGCTAATCCCAAATGTGGCAAAGGCTCGGTCCGTGGTCAAAAAAATGCTAGAGCCATCAGCAGATCTAAAGAGCACGCACACAATTAGCAAGAAAAGGGTTTGCAAGCCCGAAGAGGTACACCTACAATCCCTGCAGCACGTTTGCGTCCTCACAACTGAACTACACGCCCACACACTACAACTCGACTACAGCAGCAGCATCACCCCCCTTGTCCCGCACTCAACCAAAATGAATGTTTGTCGGCTACAGGGTACTGCTGTCTGAATTGCTGTCTGTACAATAATAACACCATGGTGAATGGTACACAAGCTCGGGGCATGCAGCTGCTCTCTGAAGTGCTGTCAGAATGAGTCCGTGGACATCCAATGAAGAAGAACAACCAACCAAAGCCATCATTGCATTTGACGATCACCCGAATCTATCCAGATCATCTGTGTTAGACACAGCAGTGTAAACATCGACACTGACTAGGAATCATTCCACATTGAAGGGGTCTTCNTGTCGGCTACAGGGTACTGCTGTCTGAATTGCTGTCTGTACAATAATAACACCATGGTGAATGGTACACAAGCTCGGGGCATGCAGCTGCTCTCTGAAGTGCTGTCAGAATGAGTCCGTGGACATCCAATGAAGAAGAACAACCAACCAAAGCCATCATTGCATTTGACGATCACCCGAATCTATCCAGATCATCTGTGTTAGACACAGCAGTGTAAACATCGACACTGACTAGGAATCATTCCACATTGAAGGGGTCTTCCACGATGCAGGTACACAATTAAGTCACCCGGGTTATCCGCGCCATCTCTGCCGCGTCTCTCTACAAAACAAACAGTGACGTCATCACACACACCNTACCCAACACCTCTATTCAGGAAAAAAAAAACGGAAAATAATTGACAACACAAGAGATGTTTGTTCGTGCGTCACGGTTCGATGCCGTCCGCATGCTCCGGTGCCGCTTCTCCGGTGCCGCTTCTCCGGTGCCGCTACTCCGGTGCCACTGTGGCCAGTTCTACAACGACCAAACTCGACCCGCTCCGCTTCGTACACGCTGTCGTTGCTGTCCTCCCCAGTCGGTTCCTCGCTATCTCCCTCGTTGCACTTAGGGTTCTTGTTCTGAAAATTCTCGCGTCGAAGGATCAACCAGCCCAATCAGCTCGTCACCATCTGTCCCCTCATCCTTTGATGGCAAAGCCAGGTTACTGAGACAGTACAGCTCCCTCTAGCAAACCTAGGGCCGTGTAGTGCCCGTCCACCTTTCTGATGGTGTCTGCCTCCGCGCACAAAAATGAGATGGGCATCACTGCCTACGCCGACGGCCAGAAAGGCCCGCGCATCTACATTTTCCCGCCTGACCCCATCAGTGCCGACCCAACTCCACCACCACACGCACGCCTCGCGGCGGATGCGC